GGATGGATGGATGGATGGATGATGGATGGATGGATGATAGATGGATGGATGATGGATGGATGGATGATGGATGGATGGATGGATGGATGATAGATGGATGGATGATGGATGGATGGATGATGGATGGACGGATGATAGATGGATGGATGATGGATGGATGGATGATAGATGGATGGATGGATGGATGATAGATGGATGGATGATGGATGGATGGTTGATGGATGGATGGATGGATGGATGGTTGATTGATGGATGATGGATGATGGATGGATGGATGATGGATGGATGGATGATGGATGGATGGATGATGGATAATTAATTGATTCTTAATTAATTGTTGCTTCACTAACAACAACATGTTTGATAAAAACCAAACAGTTGTCAGCACGGTGGTGGAGGGTTAATGGTTTGAGCTGCTGCAGTCGTTGAGTTGATGAACTCCTCTGTAGACTGGACCAAACTGGGTCCTGGTGTAACAGAACAATCATCTCAAACACAGCAGCTAATCTACTACAAAAATAAAATAAAATAAATAAATAAAAAACCAAGGCCCTGTAACGGTCCAGTCAAAGTCCAGACTCTGAACCTGCCTGAAAGACTGCTGAAGGAGCAGGAACAGATGAGAGGGGGCCGACATCCCTCCAGTCATGTTACAAACTGAGTCTTTGCTGCTAAAGCTGCTGGATTCATTTTATTTCTTTAAATAAATACTGACATGATGGGATCTGTTGTGTGTTTTTGTTCACTTGATGTTTGATTTGATTTATTAATTGTGGCCTGATACATAAAACCCTAGAAATGACACAGACTTTTCTTTTTAAAAAAGTCTTCCTAAATAAAAACTGAGGCTTCACGTTGATCATTTGAAAGTTTTGGGAAGTTTCTGTACAAAATGAAAACATGAATAAATAAACTTTATCCAGTCTTTGACTGTAAATGCACAAGGAAGGAGAAGTTTATGAAACAGACCCTCTGTCTTCAGACACAGAGGATTAAAAGGAGCGAGGCCTGAGTGAGTCTGAGGGAGGCAGATTGAATGTCTGATCAGAACAAAGCTGTCGTTGTCAGGAGGCTTCCTGCTGCACAGACTCACAAACTGTGAAGCTGCTCCACCTCTCAGTCCGTTTGCACTGCGGCAAACTTCTCACTGTTTGGATAGAAATGTCGCAGAAGAAATGTTTCCCGCTTTTTCCCAGTTGACGTGTCCTTCGTGGCTGCACTCTGTACCGAACAGGAAGGGAGACGTGTCTTTGTGTGACGGGTTGATCTCCCAAACACCAGTCATCATTCAGGTCCTCAAATGATGACTTGGCTTTGGATCTTTGCCAAAGACCTCCCTCCAGTCCAAACTCAGGTTCTGAATATTAACATTAAACACAACATTTCTCATGAAGCATTGAACAAATTATGAAATCTACAGAAAGGAACCAGTTACAACAACCACTGTCATTAAGTTTAAATTCAGGCATGAGAGGTGAAGCCTTTAATTATCTAATAGACTTGTGTTTTTAGGAGTTAGCATTAAAGGCAGATAACTAGCAAACTAATCCAGTTACTAAGGTTTGTGATTCTCATAATGAAGGAAAATCACCAAAGTCCTGAATACTCAGCCTGGAGATTAGTTAACAATCAAAAGCATGAATCACAGGAGGAAAGAGGGCGGAGCTTCAGTCAACAGGTGTTTAAAAATCGGGACAGCAGAGTCTCCAGGTACCAGAGATTCTGGAGCCGCTGCCTGCCTGATCCGATCTGACCAGTCAGAACCAGGTAAGCCTCACACCTGCAGGCTCCATCTGCACGGTAAGAACATTAGGTTTTATAGAAACTACTTCAAGCTAAAACTGCAAAACATGCAAATTCAGTGTTGATGGAAAAGTGTTGGAGCATCAAGTTTAGAACAGGAGAAACACTGTTTTATTACGGGTACAATACGCTTCAATACTTTAGTCTCACGGTTCGATATTTTTTCGATACAAAAAAGAGAAATTTCCACGCCCCTTTTAACTTGTAATTTATTTAAATTAATTATGAACATTTGTTTAACCTCAAAAGTGCAGTTTTCAAATTAAATGTTGCTAAAGCAGCAAAAGGAAAAAAAATTGAATAGGTCCTCTGGACTGGTTCTTCTTTAATGAAACGTTTCGTCTCTCTTCCAAGAGACT